ACAAGTTGGCCAAACGGCTCAGCTGTAAAGCAGAACGGGTCGTTACCTTGGTGCTGTATTGTTCAAGAACACTGATGGTTTCTGGGTCAATCGCTGTGGCCTCAGCCTGCAGATCTGCGATGGTGCCATCAGCCTGGATGGCCAGGATGGTGTTGGGCTGCGGCATGTGTACCGTGTGCTGGATGTAGGCGGTGCTTCCGTCCTCCAGTTGGATCTCCTGCAAGCCACTCTGGTCATAAGTTTCTGAACGGAAACAACAAACAGAACATAAACGAAATGAATAAATAAGAAAAGAAGGTCAGGAAATAAAAAAAAGAGAGCCTTTAGGTCAGAGTAGTTGTGTATTCCACACAAAACATTCCCGCTTTAAAGAGAGTTTCTGGCCATTTTGTAGTGGGTTCTATAGAGTAATTATGAACAAACATAATCTTACCTGTTGTAGATTAATCTATGAACGACCTCAGTTTGGAGAAAGTTCACGTTTGGCAGGCTTGATGAGCTGAATGCTCAGAACAACAGGACTGCTGCCTTCTTAAAACAATTTAAATCTCAAAAATGTCATCAAGGCTCGTGCGAATAAAGTCCATCTCTCTAAGCTGAGGTACTTCAAAGAACTCTCCAACAAGTAAGATAATTGATCATAACTTAGATAATAATTTCTTGTTATAACATCAGAGACCAGCTCAGCTTCAAGCTAAAATAATGTTTAGATTTTTCACTAGAATTCACTCTTATATGTATGACTGCATGTATTTATTATGTTTTGGTATTTTTAATTCCTGTGACGAACAAATACATTTTTAAAGGTTATAAATACCAGCACTTAAACCGTCAAGTGTTTAAACTCACCACAGCTCAAAAATGCACAGAGAATATGCTTTCCTCTAAAAGTTGAGAAAACTTACATCACCTTAAAATTTGTTTTTTTATTTACCTTTGGGTGTGTGAATATAAGCAGTTGTTCCATCTTCTAACTGGACGGCCTGTCCGTCTTCAAGCTGTAAACTGTCTCCTCCTGCAACGTAAAGGTCAAAAGGTCACTTCAAAACACAAACAGCATGAGAAACGATACAACCATGCCACCTTTTCTGTCAAATGTTAAACTAAGATGTTACGATGAGAAAAAACAAAGCTGTAGCAGATTAGGTCAAACCGTGGAAACGACGGTCTACAAGGATGAAAGTCGGCTACAGCCACACCCAATTTTAGCTCAGCGTCTGTGAAACTGACTGAGGTAGAGCCATGTGCGTTTTGCTAAGGTCAGTTAGCTAGAGCAGCCATCTTGAATTGGGTTGACTCCAATGGTTAATCAGTTATACATGCGCAGCCATTGATTACTTTCTGAAGGAAATGAATGGAAAACAGATCTTGCGCAATCTTTTAGTGACTGGTGTACAAGTTGGGAATGGTTCTCAGCTAAACACCAAATTTTAGGTCACTATCAGTAAAACTTATCGTTACGCCTGTGCTTTCTGAGGTAACTGTGGCAACCGTCTTGAACCAGCTGGACTCCCAAATGCTAATCAGCTGTAGCCGTGCATCTAGTGATTACTTTGTGAGTTTCACCAATATCCGTCTACTGGTTCATGAGATATTTTGCTAACACAACAAACACACGCACAGTGGCAGGCAATAACAAGTGCTCAACATCAAACAGAGTTTCCAGTTATAAAATGGTGTCTCTCGTTACTGATGTGTTGCTGGATTTTGATCGTACCCGTTTTAGGCATGGACACGTGCTGAACGTAGGCAGCCGAGCCGTCCTCCAGTTGGATCACCTGACCGTCCATGATTTGTCCATCTGAAAACGAAGCTTTGGAGTCGTGCTGGATGTACGCTGTGGAACCATCTGCAAGAGTAACGGCCTGCAAGCTCACGGTGTCCATGCTCTCCATCTGATCGCCATCTAGGAAACCATTTGACAAAGACGACCTTTCATGATCATCGTCGTTCAACATTTTAGCAAAGAAGATGCGAAGAACAAAGATCCAACAGAACTGCCATTAGTCAAACGTGCATTTAGACGTTTCATTAATTTTATTTTATGGCCTCTGAAACCACTAGAAGTGTATGCTATTTGACACCTGAAAAACACAAAGCCGTTTTTTGTTCCGACGACTGAAACAAATCGTATAACATCAATTAATAGCCAGTGTCAGAGTTACCGGTAAGTTCAAGTCCAGGAACTCACCTGCCACCGTCACAGCCTCTGTCAGGCAGAGAGTAACCGGCTGCCCATCTGCATCATGAAACTCTGACATTCCCTGGGAGTCCCGGTTTATCTGGGCCAAGAGCATGCTTTAGCTGCTGGAAGGACAAAAGCAGCAGAGTCAACCTTCCAAGTCCACAGGTTAGCAAAAACATGTTCACTTTTCACCTCTATTAAAACCTTCTCATCCTACTGGTGAAATATTTACATGTTTTAATGCAGAAACACAACCACCAAGTATAATTTATTACTTGGCAATTGAGCATTTATGAGTACGGGTATGTGTTGCAGCACAAATGGAAGAATATCCAGCACTGACACGCAATTAAAACACACAAAACTCATAAATATGGAGGAAAACTATGAAGAAAATTGCCACAAAACATAACTTGTCGTGTAACTTTGTGTTACAAAGCACAACTTAAAAAAATGATGCAGATTTATTGTTTTATAACATTACTTTTGTTTTAAAGTCAGAGTTTTTAAATAGCACTTAACATGACTCATGCTAACCAAATTCTTAAAGAGATTTATGTTTAAACAAATTATTTGAATTAAGGGAACTTTAAAAAAAAAAAAAATTGCAACATCATTTATCATGAGAAAATGTTACCGTTTTAAAATTCTAATTTTTGGAACAATTTGCATCTTTAAATTTCTTGGAACAAGGTAAAACGTTGTCACTGGTCTGAAATAATTGGCATAATTTCTACAGCCTTTAAAGATTGCCATTTAGCAAAAGTTCAGTAATAAATTTAATTGTAATAAATACCTAATAATATATTTTTATTTACAAAGATTTAATTTTTTACCTTAGAAAATTATGACACATTTCAACATTTTGTTGGCTGAAACACGCAGGTGCTGACAAATCAATTTGATTTGATGAATATATGTAGTTGAAAACATTAACAGTCTGTTGGGTTATTGAAAACGTCTTTTACATTTTGAGAAAAATTGAACAGCTTTTGTTGGAGCAAACGTTTGAAATTATAGAATGGCTGCGTCAAATCGGAAGTGAACAACTATACGAAAGCACAGACTTTTCCTATTTATTATCATTATTCCAACTCAGTCTTACATCGGGGAAACTAAACAGCCACTGGCCAAAAGGATGGCCCAGCACAGAAGATCAACATCATCAGGCCAGGACTCTGCGGTCTACACTCATCTCCAGGCCAGCGGTCACTCTTTCAGGGATGAAGATGTTCACATCCTGGACAGAGAGGAACGATGGTTTGAGAGAGGAGTAAAGGAGGCCATCTTTGTGAAAAGATATCGTCCATCATTAAACAGGGGTGGAGCCTCCGGGTTCAACTGTCCCCCTCTTACAATGCTGTGATTGCTAGTATCACTCAGCCTCCTGTGAACAGTACACAGCCATCAGGTGCTAATGACCCATTGTTAGGCTGATGGTCCTTCTTGAGCATGTGATCAGCTGGTTTTGGTTGTCAGCAGCAAAACTGGTTGATCCACTATAAGAAGGTGCTATTTAAGAGACTGAGCTGAAAACAGCACCTCAGACTGAGGAAGTCTCTTGGATGAGAGACAAAACGTTTCTAGAATTTTTTTTGCTTTGTTTTGCTTTTGTTTTTTTTTGAATGTCCAGAGGACCAGATTGAACTTTTTTGGATTTTTCTACCTGGATCATTTCATTTTCATTTCATTTATTTTATTCATTTCAAATTAAAACACAGGAAAAAACAATTTACAATCCATATGGATAAAAAAAGACCGAAAAGAAAATTTAAAATGAAAGGAAGCAGAAGAAGAAAAAATCTTATAATAACTGCCCCTTCTTAGACAAAAAATCAATACAAACAATCAATTAAAGCAATAGTCATTCATGAAAACAATTTTTCAACAACTAAACAATCAATGCAATTCATGCATTAGTCAACCATGAAACAAATAATCAACTTATAGTAATATAATGATTTTAAAAACATTTTATATTAACCAAATTACATATATCTTTGCAACATTATACTCTTAATTTTTTTCTTGAATACAGACATTGACTGAGCTTTTTTAACATCAGTTTCCAAACTATTCCATAGTCCTATTCCATGTATCAACGTTGACCGACCCTTTAAACTAGTTCTATATTTAGGTTTAACAAAAATATCAGTGCCCTTTAGATTATAACAACTTTTTCTTTTTACAAAAAGCACTTGAATATTTGAGGGCAGTGTATAATGACGTGCTTTATACATTAACAAAAGAATATTATATTCCACCAAATCATAAAACCCCAGCAACTTCATTTTTTTTTTTTTCATTTAGCCTTTATTTATCCAGGTTAGTCTCATTGAGCCACGAGAACTCATTTGCAAGAGAGACCTGTTTTAGGGAGCACATGGTGGGGTTAAGGGCCTTGCTCATGGGCCCAGAGTGGGGCGAATGAGGGTGGGGGCAAGTGTGGGTGTTTCACCTACCCCACCCACAATTTTGATGTTGTCGGGGCCGGGGCGTGAACCGGCGATCTTCGGATCACAAGCCCACCTCTCTAACCTCTGCGCCACCACTCCCCAAAATTTTACAAAATAATACACTAGTAGGATTATAGAGCATGCATCAAGATATTATTCCAACTCACTAACCAAGATTTTTTTTAAATCTCTTATTTTAAGAGTGGTTCAGCCCGAAAGAAAAATAATAAAACTTAAGTTTTCAAGATTGAGCTGAGTCTGCACTTCTTGTAATGTAGATCATTGATGTGCTTAGACTCCTTTTAAGTACAAATATTCGTACCGGTGTCAGAAAATAAATAACTGATGTCCACAGATACTTTAGAAACGTTTAAAAATATTCTTCCACAGCAAAAATGCAATTGGCTTGGATTGAGAAAAAAATATTAGATACTTAAATCCCATTTAAAAACTCACATACGAAATAATCAAAAACGTTTGTTTTTTCTGTATAATTAGAACATGCTACCAAAATGCCTCGCATTTCCCCCCTGGGATTAATAATTTATCTATCCATTATTGCTATTGTATTAAAATTGCTAGTCATTTAATTAAGAGAAATGACAGAAAGGTATTTTCAGGGTCTGAGCCAAAAATATATTTTAGTCACACACATTTAGCCTTTTCCTACTCTGCTCCTGTAATCTAGAACACCTTACAACAGGAACTGAAGCTGACCACTTACATTTTCTTTAGGGGATTTTAAACATTTGATAATGTCAATATAAAAATCTAAGCAAATATGTTCTTGTTTTTAGTATTTTACCTTGTTTTATAACATTACTTTTATTTGAAACTGCAGTTTATTGTTATTGTCTGAACTTTATGAGTTCTCGTGGCTCCATGAGACTAACCTGTATAAATAAAGGTTGAATGAAAAGTATATATATATATATATATATATATATATATATATATATATATATATATATATATATATATATATATATATATATAAGCCCAGTGATGTTAGATTCACCTCATTATAAATAAGAAAAGACCAAAATTAGTAACTCTCATTGCACTTTAAATGTGACTCCATAAAACGTTTGTAAGTTCACTTTTTAAAGTAATCTGTCATGTTCTGAAGGAGCTGCCATCATCTACATCTCCTGCAACCTCTTGGCTGTTTGGGCGCTTGTTGATTAGCATTAGCATGTTTGGCTAGTTAGCTACGATGCGCTACAACGATGACTTGCAGCATTTGCTCGTTTGTTACAACACATCACCTAAAATGTGCTAAAAGTTTAACTACTCTGGTGACACAGTGAAGACAGTAGTTGACCCTTCCACCGCTACATTTGCAGGGACGATTAGCTATTCACCGGACAGGCTAACTAGCCACGATGCTAACACCGCTGCTAACTACGCGCAGCGGAGATGTCACGACTTTTAAAGCGACTCGGGGCAAATATTTCTCAAACAATGAGCTTGACACGGGTCCGGTTCTCTTAAGCTGCCTTGTGGCATCTGAAGAAACTCTGCATGACAAGTGCAGCTAAGCTAACGCATCACGTTGAGCTTCTAGCCAACTTCGACTAACTAGCAACCTAGTAAGGAAACAAGATGAGCTAATTAATGATATCGTAAGCAATTTCGCTCGGGGAATGTCAGTTTTATTTTATTCCCGCTTAATTGCAATTTCCCTTTTCCAGCTGTATCCCTGCTGCATCCTGTCACTCCCATTAGCAACGGAGATGGCTGTGGGAATAATGCACACTGGGTAAAAACCAATTTATATACTAACCTCCAAAAAATTTCCAACAATTCCTCCTGTTCGACCACCATGCAACAGTGCAGGAAACGATCAGCAAAGTCTCTAACCCGGGAACATGTATGACAATACAATTCGCCCCCAGCTTGTCCCGCCTACTGCGCGAGCTAAACATGTGATTGGGCAATCCCTCCCAATAGTCATTCCTATTGGTCTAGCATTGCGCTCTTCTTTCCGGTTCTTTGGCCGTTATTCAGATTTCTGGGCCACGGAGAGACGCCATTCTGCGCCGGTTTTCGTATTGTGTCGTGCTTTCTGTTGTAACTACGCTTCGTCGTCGTGTAAATTTAATATTTAAGCGTTGGAATAAGACCATAGTCAATTAAACCTTTTCGGTCCGAGGCACTGAATATCACAACATGCAGCCACGTTGCTTCTTTAGCAACATAAACAACGGTGTGTTGGTAGGATGGATATTTGGGCATCCATGTTAAAACATGGTTGTGTGGGAGGAAAGGGGGAATGTGGGCAATGCAGTGACACAAAGTTTAGAATTTAGTATTTTCAACAGATATACAAACATATACCGACTGTCTCACGACTGCAAACATGTTTATTAGTGCATGTAGTGATGCAAGACTAGTAATAACCAGCTCGTTAGTGTGCTGAGATGAAATGCAGACCACTCAATAAATGATTTGCAAGGGTTTTTACTTCTTAAGCTCAGTTATGTCAATTTAGACTTTTTTTTTTAATTAAATATATTTTACTATTTATACTGGCTCATATATGAGCCTGTATTTTTTTTTCTCTGCTGTGTGGTGCTTTTAAGTTTCTCTTCATCAATATTAATTTAATTGGTGCCTACTGCCAAAAGCTAAAGGTGAGAACATTTCTCTGCCTGTGTCTCTGAAACTCAGAAAATACTAGATTTAAATATACGTACAACTGATTGAAGTTTTGGAGTCAGCCCAAGTCAAGATGGCTTCCAGCTTATTGACTTAGCAAATTAAATTCAGAAATACTTTATTAATCCCAGAGGGAAGTGGCTGGCATCTTTTCAGATACTGAGCTAAAATTTGGTGTGAGTAGCTGAAATTTGCTAAAATGTAAAAACAGCCTCAACTCTGCCATAAGATGATCAAAAACTGCCATGAACGGTGGTGAGCGAGGCATTTCTTCACAGAATGCTGAGCCTTTGATTCAATATTACTGCCACTTTGGCCAATGAAGACTCCAGTCAGCCATCAGGTGAAAAGGAGGAACCCAGACCAGTGGTCATTCCGTATGTTGAGGGAGTATCAGAGAAATTGAGACGTTTATTTTCTAAACATAACGTCCCAGTGGCTTTTAAACCTTAAAATACATTACGGCAAAGACTGGTTCATCCTAAAGATCCAGTCCCCCGGCACAAACAGAGCAATGTTGTGTATGCTGTTCAGTGTCAGGAGGGTGATCAGTCTTACATCGGGGAAACAAAACAGCCACTGGCCAAAAGGATGGCCCAGCACAGAAGATCAACATCATCAGGCCAGGACTCTGCGGTCTACACTCATCTCCAGGCCAGCGGTCACTCTTTCAGGGATGAAGATGTTCACATCCTGGACAGAGAGGAACGATGGTTTGAAAGATGAATGAAGGAAGCTGCCTTTGTGAAGAGAAACCACCCATCATTAAACAAGGGTAGAGGCCTCCATGTTCAACTGTCCCTCTCTTACAATGCTGTTATTGCTAGTATCACTCAGCCCCCTGTGAATAGTAAACAGCCATCAGGGTGCTAACAATTGGTTGATGGTCCTCATTTATCATGTGAACAGCTAGTTCTGGATGTCAACAATGAACTGGTTGATCCACTATGAGAAGTTGCTATTTATAAGACTGAGTTTATTGCAATTCCTCACACTGAAGAAGTCTTGGATTAAAGACGAAATGTTTCAAAAATATATATATATATTTTTTAATCCATCCAGAGGGTCTGCCTTAACTTTGTTAGATATATAGGTCTATATTTATAGTCTCACCTAATAATTTGATTCTTTTTTTCTTGGTATGATCCACTGACAACATTTCTTATGGACACACAAAGGTCAAAATGATGTGAATAATATTTATGCATTTGCATGTTATTCCTGTGCTTGAAAACTAAATAGTTCTAGGCATTTTATGTTCAGCTAAGGCTGATTAGCTGTGGCAGCCATTTTGAGTTAACTTAAAAAGTTCATCATTCTATAACCAACAAACATAGAGGCAATAATAAATAATTGGTGGGCTTTAGCATTTTCTACCCATAAAACTATTCCTTATACAAAGTATTTTTGTTAAATTTATAACTACAGTTGGGGTCATAAGTTTACATACCCGCATGAACATGATGGTCATTAATTTTGGGGGTCTTATTCGTTTATGTGACTTGTTCTTTTGCCCGAATGAAATTTTGACACAACAAACAACTTCACTGGTTTTGAATTCTAATTTAACAGTTCTGTAAAACTATTTTCATTCATTATTTACATCTTCCTCCAAACTCAGGGCAGAAGACGAGTTTGGCCATCCAGGAAGTGCCACTCCAGCCACCGCCTCTCCCTCACATCAACTGGTTTGCTCGCTCGACACGGTCACTGACAGCAGAACTCAGGAGCACCATCTGGTACCTGGTGATTGTCTTGTTGCCGTGGTAACCAGATGTGAGGATATATGGTCCGGGTTGTGTGAAGACAGTGGGAGTTTTGAATGTACTATGAAAACAATTAGACGAAACTGGGATCTAAAATAAGTGTACTGTAGTAAATAATTGTAAGGAGGCTATTTTAAAACTTGTTTTTTATTATGTATGCAAAAAACCCCAAAAAAAACTGACATCAGTGGTGCAGAATAACTTTTTTCTACAGTTCATGGTGTGACAAATCTCTAGGTGCATATGTGAGGGGACTTTTGGTAAAGGTTAATGGATGTTTATCACTGCTAATGTTAAATTAATGAATTCAAAAAACGTTCAATACAAAAACAACTGGACTTTATTTGTAACAGAAGACGTTTCGCTCCGCATCCGAGGAGCTTTCTTAATTCAAAGAGCAGTGAGTGAGGGGTTCAGGCTGAGTGAGATAAGACATACATACATATGTAAATTGACAAACCACACCTTAACAGTTAGGGTTTCTTAAGGTCTTTGTTCCTCTAATTCACAGACGAGGCCCCTCTGTTCCCATCAGGTGTGAAAACTGGCTGGGAATCAGTCTTAAAGTTGCATTATAGGTTTTTGAAAGTGGAAATCTGAGGCCTCCTCCTCTGTTAAGAGACGGCTTTTCTGTTTTTACATAAATTGCTTCCTTCACCCCCCTCTCAAACCATCTGTGTTCTCGGTCCAAAATGTGCACATTTTGGTCCTCAAAAGAGTGTCCCTTCTCTGTGAGGTGGGACAGCTGAATCTTGTCCTGAGGAGGTGGCTCTCCTGTGTTGAGCCATGTGTCTGTGAAGAGGCTGTTTAGTTTCTCCAATGTAGAGGTCTGGACAGTCCTCGCTGCACTGGACCACAGACACTACACCACTCTGTTTGTGTATGGGTGTTCTGTCCTTAGGGTGGACCAGCCTCTGGCTGAGAGTCCTGCTGGGTTTGAAATGTACTGAGATGTTCTGTTTGTTGAAAATCCTTCTGGATTTCTCGGATACTCCAGCAACATAAGGGATGACAATGTTTTTACGTCTGCTCTCCTTTTTCTGTTCATTAGTGTTTTGTAGATTTCCTCGCCGACTTGACAAAAGCTCAGTTTGGATATCCACATGTTTGGAGAGCTTGAATGTGTTTCTGTTCCTTTTCCTTCCCTCTGTCTTCGTGGGGATGCGTTCGGCCCGATGCTGTAAAGTTCTGATGACAGAGAGTTTGTGTTCCAGTGGATGGTGGGAGTCAAACAGAAGATACTGGTCTGTGTGGGTTGGTTTTCTGTAAACTTCAATGTTGAGCCTGTCCTCTCTCTCCATCTGAAACAAACAGTCCAAAAAAGGGCAGCTTGTTGTTGTTTGCATCCTCTCTGGTGAACTTGATGTTATCGACCGAGTTGATGTGTCTGGTGAACGCTTCTATTTCCTTGGCTTGGATTTTGACCCAGGTTTCATCCACATATCGGAACCAATGGCTTGGCGTCGTTCCCTCGAAGGAGTTTAGGGAGGAAGGAAGCGTGGCTTTGACGACACAGTGCTTTATATGATAGCATCACACTAAAAACAATATGTATGAAGAGTACAATTACTATGAACTTTAAAGATTTTGACTTTTATTTACAGGAAGTTCTCAAGCACAAGCTCAAAATTCACAGATCAATTCATCAAAACGCAGCTCCCCATTTCAATCACTTCCTGCTGCTGAAGCATAAAAAACAGATGCTTTTAGAATAACCAGCTTCAACCCTAAACCACCTGCAGGATGGCAGTTGTTGCCTCAGCATTATCGTATACCTGGATTACCATGTTATCTTGGTCAAAAAACATAAAAGAAATCCTTTAAAAATTGTAAAACAGTGATTTGGCAATATACCTAAAACATGTTACATGATTTGGGGCAATTGGTTTTAAAGTAATCTACATAAAAAACACAAAAGGTGTCATAAATATTATGACTTTTCAATATGAAACAACTAAAATGTCTTGGAACAAAAGTTAATTCTCAGTGCAAAAAATCAGTATAAAACGGGCAAAACAGCATTTGTCAGTTTTGTTATTGACGCGTAGGACTGACGGGTTCAGTCGTAGGAGGGGTCAAAGGTTAAAAGCGAGGCTGATGCTCTCCCCAGCTTTAACACTGACCAGCTGGGTCTGCTGCAGCCACTCTGGCAAACCGGCGGTGATGGCATACGTTCCAGGAGAGACCTCAATGTAAAAATCTTCCTCCGATGTGCCGACCTGACCCTGACAATGATACAGAAAAATATTCTGTCACCACCATTGTTTATGTTACTACGTTACACTTTCTTGCATGTTCTTTTTTTGTTTTAGATAAAGCTGAAACAGGTAAGTGTTGCCTTAAAGTTGAAAAATGGTCAAAATTATTATTATTATTTAAGTATTACAGAGTTTCTTACTTGTTTTTTGGTTGATGTCCTAGTTCCTGGCCTTGAGTGGAACCTGGACATGTGGGTCTTTTCACTGTGACTGAGCTCAGAGCAGTGGCCAGACTCATAATACCTCTGCACCAGTACACCAAACGGAGCACATTTTATATTTCCATCTGAAAGCCCACACAGAACTTTAACACGTGAAATGCCACAAATCTTTCCTCACCTTGCAGTGACAGGTCGTCTGTGTCATAAGCGCTGCAATAGATACAAAGGCGTCATCGAGCTCTGAGTGAGTTCTCTGAGTAAGAAACAGAACAGTTGAACTGAGGAGGTGTCTTGTATAATAGCAGTTGGTTCATGGAAGTTTTAAAAACTACGGTGGCCCTTAGGTGTAAATGAACAACATTTGGAAAAAAAACAAAACGGAATTACATTAAGCTAAAGCAGAAGTGGCCAGAATCACATTAGAAAAAAACAGAATCTCATTTGAAAAAAAACAAAAAAAAAACGGAATTACATTAGAAAAAATTGAATTATTTGAAAAAACAAAATCACATTAGAAAAAACAATCGCATACGAAAAAACTGAATCACATAAGAAAAAAACGGAACTTGAAAAAACAAAATCACATTAGAAAAAACAGAATCACATTAGAAAAAATGAAATCACATTTGAAAAAACTGAATTACATTAAGCCAAAGCAGAAGTGGCCGGAATCACATTAGAAAAAAACGGAATCAGGAATCGCGTTAGAAAAAACGGAATCAGGGATCGCATTAGAAAAAACAAAATCGTGTAAGAGAAAACAAAATCACATTAGAAAAAAACGGAATCACATTAGAAAAAAACGGAATCACATTAGAAAAAATTGAATTATATTTGAAAAAAATGAAATCACATTAGAAAAAAACGGAATTGCATAAAAAACAAACAAACAAACAAACAATTACATTAAGCCAAAGCAGAAGTGGCCGGAATCACATTAGAAAAAAACAGACTCACATTTGAAAAAAACAGAATTACATTAGAAAAAACAGAATTACATTAGAGAAAACAGAATCACATTTGAAAAAACAGAATAACATTAAGCCAAAGCAGAAGTGACCGGAATCACATTAGAAAAAATGAAATGACATTGGAAAAAAATGAATTATATAGGAAAAAATGGAAATTATATAATTTTTGAATGATTCAGTTTTTTTCTATGTAATTCCGTTTTTTATGTGATTTAGTTTTTTCAAATGTGATTCTGTTTTTTTCAAATGTGATTCTGGCCACTTCTGCTTTGGCTTAATGCAATTCCGATTTTTCAAATGTTGTGTTTTTTCAAATGTAATTCTGTTTTTTTAAATGTTGTTCATTTACACCTTAGGGCCACCATAAAAACACACGCGAGCACCTTAACTGTTACATGAGCCTCTTCATCTGTAGTACTGGGGGTCTGGGATGCACTAATGCTGGTCCAGTCCACACTTCTTCTTGAGGCTCGCTCCAGCACCTCCAGGCCCAGTCTGCCTGAGCGCCTCAGGGAGGACTCCAACCAGCCTGGACCTGCCATGAACACTAAAAGCTAGGAAGCACAGGTGATGTCACCCAAAAGAACACAATGGAGAGTTTACATTCGTATTTTGCATAATATGTATTTCTACTGACTTGATGTGAGAAAATACAAGCAAATGATCACTACCTTAATAACTGTAAAATATAAGTTTGATTAACTTAAATGAAAAAATTGTTCAGCAAAAAAACAGATTTTTTTTAATGTTAATAATAAATATAAAAAAACAGATCTACCTAAGGCTGTACATGTTAAAATTTAAGAAAGATATATGTGTGAATTGCTCTCTGTGCGAGTCTGAACCTGAAACTATGATCCACCAGTACTACCACCTTCTGGAAATAAATAACCTGGTATATCTGTAGCAAGATTAACTCTACAAGTTAGAACTGTACTTTTTGGAGTCCATGATGCCAAAAACAAAAAAAGGAAAAATATATAAATCATAAGTTTAACAACACTCTTAGAGAAATAAAACATGCACTAATAAAAAGTTGAGTCACTCTATTCCCTCTTTCAGGCCTTCCAAAAGGAGTGAACAGTACAGCACATTGTAAACATTTCCTTTTCATCCATTCAACTCTTATTTATACTTTATTTATTTCTTACTCTAATATAAAATTATAAAACCATTTGATTTGTGCACCTTATTTAATGTGTTTATTTGACTAATCTCCGTGGCTTTTATTTGTTTGGATGTATTTAGATAACTGTCGTTGTAATGTTTCACTTTTAATAAAGATTTTCATTGAAAAAAAAAACAAAAACAGGTCTCTCCATAAGTCTCAATAAAGAGCGCATGCGCAGTTAAGCTTGCCATACTTAAGCTCATTTACTGTTTTAGGCATCTCTTTCCTGTATCCTTCAACACGTGACATGATGTGACGGAATAATTCCGCACGAGTTCCCAGAGTTTAAACATTTAGCTGAAGCCGCGAGTTTCCTTCCGAGGTTTCTCAACTTACTTTTTCTGTTCGGCGCGACAAAACAGTTTACCAGTTTCCAATTATCTAATTAGAGGGATAAATGAGCTGCTTGTAAATGTTACCTTTTAGTTTTATTACAAGGTCTTCACATTTTTCTTGACAACTTCAGCTCGGCGTCTTTCACTTTTCTTTGAGCCTCAGCCCGACAGGAAGTTCTACTTAAGCCCCGCCTCTTCCCGGAAGTAAACCCTAAATCCTTGATGACCATCGACTCGTATTTAAATACTTTTACTCTGTGGAGTATCAAGAACCTTGTAAAACAATATTGAATTGTTTCCAAAGCAAATGTTTTGCTGAATAAATATTTAAGAATAAACATCCTCGTGAGGATGGAAAAAAACCAACACCTTCAGCTCTTCCTAATCTGTTGGCAATTTTGTATCCAAGATACTAGTTAAATTTTAAACATTAACCTATTTTAAATATTTCAAAAACATAAACTACTTAAATCAATGAGGCCTTTGGAGAGATTATTTCCAAATAAGACAACTTTTGACAGGTCAGATGATCAATTTCCTGTTCTTTCTATTCCAGGTGGTGTAATCTCTAGCGAGCCTCCATCATTTTAGGATCAGCTTGTCCACATTTGGGAGTAGTGGTTAAAAGATGAGCCCGATGTCAATTCAACTCCTTAAATCAAAATGTAGGTGGGAACGGTGGAGCCACTCACCTACCTCCACCCACGTTTGCCCCTCTCTGGGCCCTTGAGCAAGACCCTTAACCCCCATCTGCTCCCCCAGGTGGAAGCTCTCTGCTCCACACACAGGGCTGTTGTAGCTCGGTGGTCTGCGGTCACATCAGGAAGGGCATCCGGCGTAAAAAAAAAAAAAAAAGAAGCAATTGCCGAGTCTTCATGCGAGTTAGTTCGCTGTTACAACCCCCGAGAGGGGCAAGCAAGGATGGAGGCAGGTGTGGGTGCTTCACTTTTCACACCCACATTAAAAGTTTTAGAAATTAAACACACTTTAGGCTCAGGAAACTCGAATACTTGTCGTACAACAGTACATTTCACAAGATAAATTATTTCGTTTTAAATGTTTATTCACCTAAATTGACTCAGTGCCACAGTGAGTCAAAGTTTTTTATTGTTGCAACTCAAGTTCATAACTAAAAATACACGACTGTTCCCATTTATACACTTTATTTTCAAAAAACAGGCAGACAGGAACATTATGCCATCAGCACACAGGCTCCGCCCACTGCCTTGATCTTCTCCTCCGCTTGTCGGCTGAAGAATTTGGCCTTAACGATCACGGGCTGCTTGGGCAGTTTGCCTTTGCCCAGAACTTTGTAGTAGCCCTGTAAAGATTAAAAAAAGAAAGTTAATACTTTGTCAAAAATTAACGTGCGCGCGCACACACAAAACACCCCTCCAACATCCATAACGAGGGTAACTAACTGAAGCTATAGAGCTCACACTGAAAGCTCGACTAGAACCAGCAGCAAACTACCTAGAACAATAAATAAAGCCAGTGGCCTAAGGAGTCAACCTGGTGCAATGGATAAATTTGATTGTGGCCAAACACACAAGATATTTGTAAATAAAAATAAATACAGTAAGTACTCCCAATACTTTTGAGGTAATGATCACAGACCAATTTTTTATGGCTGCACATGTGAAGAGCAAACTATTTACAATTGTTTCTTGTCTTGAGAAAAGCCCAAATGACAAACAATCAAATCTTTGTTCACATATGGATCTGGAGTGTTTTCAAATGCAGAAAAAACATTTTATTTAAAAGAACAAACAAACGTGTGGATAAAGCATCACGTTTAGAAACTGGATGCTGACAAAACACATGGAGATGTTTGATGATTTAAAGAAGGGTACGCAAACAAAATTTTCTATACCATTGTTTTATGTGATCTCTCTCACAGGAGGCCTTTATTTATCACCAACTAACTGTAAAAGATCTGGATGTAATCCTGAAAACCCAACAGCAGCACAAACCATTCAGTGTAATGAACTGATTTGAACAGAGGCTGAGGACATAAAAAACAAATCCAGCAGCTTTCGCTGGCGTCATTAGAAGCTGCCATTGGCCTTCCTGTCCAAAGCACCAACAGGAAGCTCTGTCCTCAAGCATCCCCTCCAGGTGGAGTCAAATATTCACCTCACAGCATTCAGACTAAAAAAATGAGCATGTTCAAAGCTGCTGGCTGATCAATATGTAAAAATTTCAGTCCAACAAATCACTCCACTAAAAACACAAAAGACTATATTTTAACCAGATTTTTTGTTTTATTATTTAAATTTAATTTGTTTCCATTAGTCCACGCAGCTCAGCGATAGCATTTTGTGATCTCTAGCGACTTATGACGATCAATTTCTACATTTTTTACTGGAGTGGCAGTAGTAGCAAGTAGGAATGCGTGATATAAACGGTATACGGTAGAAACGATAGAAATTTAGCCTACGATAGAGATGCGTCTTCTACCGGCTAACCGCAGTAATGCTGTGTCTGAAGTAAAATCAGAGTTGTCAGATTTAATCTTTTTTTTTTTTTAAAACTGTGCGCAAGTGGCGTTAAAGTCTTCTTCGAGAGCTAATAAGTAGTGAAGCTACAAGCTAACTACGCCCGGCTTGCCGTAGAGTTGCCGTATTCTGACGCATGAGCAAAACGCCGTATTCCGTTGAAAGTTTTTTTTTTCTGTTGAAAGTTAAAGTAAGCGTTGGTCAGCTTTAGAGAAACCTGCTCTCTGATCTGTGAAAAGAACGCTGTGTTGTGTGATTTTACTGCGAGACCCTCTGGTCAAAGCCACAGACTCATTTTGTGTCAGCTCTCCATTAAAGCAGAATGAGGCGCCCACTAGAGGTTTGGAGGGTGAAGTGTTTCAGTGTAAAATGCTGCTCTGTTGCTGTTCATTTCTTAAGACTGGAAACTGTTAACATATTCTTTTGTTTAAAACATATGGCTAAAACTACATTTTATATATTTTGCACTACAAGCAAGAAGCCTAATACTTGATTTGTTTATTATTTAAAAACTCTCTGGACCTAGTAGTGGAATTTTCTTAATTCAAAATATATGATGGCAAAAGGACACCCTATGCTTTTAGAAAAATTCCTATTAAATTTTATACCAAAAACATATTGCGATATATATCGTTATCGCCACCCTTCACAACACATATCGTGATATGAATTTTATGCCATATCGCACATTCCTAAGTAAAGGTTCTACTTCCACAGAAACTCAGGTGGCTACTTTAAAGGAGTGGTTTCCAACTTTGTTATTAGTTCTGCCTGCAACATGTTTCAGCTTGGGGGAAAAATAAAAACAAAACAATGCACATTCATCTCAACTTATTTAGTGGACAAAGAATCAAAGACTAATTTCTTTAGTCTGCAACAAAATGACTCGGTCTAATATCTTCAGGTAAAAAATATAGTACATCCCAACAAAAATTACTTAGTCCATTTAGAAAAGTGCTCAGGAGAAAGCACGTTCCACTTATATTAGTTCAAACTTACAGCGCGCACAGCATTGATGACAGGGGCAGGTCCATCGGGCTTCTTGGCATAGTGGAGTCTGGTCTGCTCACTCACCAGCGTCCACAGCTTGTCCAGGTTTATGGTGGGGCAGTAGGATATGTTCCTCTTCAGGTGGTAATGTCTCATACCCACCTTACCGAAGTAGCCAGGATGGCTGAGGGCAACACACAATAAGACAAGACACTTAGAACACAGGTGGCTGAATATCACTTAAAGATAAGTTTGTCATGTGGGAAAAGACGAGCACATATTTGGTAAAAACATGCAACTTGTTACCTTGTGTTTTATAATAATTAAGACCAGTGGGAAAACAAATTTAATAATTTAACAAGTTAGATCTCAGTGTCTCCCACCACAAAGTCCACTCGTGGGAGACACATGTTCAGTTAATTTAATACAAAAACGAATAAACACACAGAACACATCAGTCTTTACTTAAGATTTTTAAGAAGGATGCAACTATTCACATCAACACTCACGATTATGGACAAACCTAGACGTTGTCAAACTAAATGTATTTATTTTAATTAAATTAAGTTCCACTGAGATACAGCTTATCCAGTCTTGGTCAAGACATGCGCACTGCCTGAAGCACCAATTAAATAATTACTTACTATTTATCAAAGTTGATTCTGTGGTGATGCATGCCACCAGCATTACCACGACCTCCAGGATGCTTCCTGTGCTTGCCTGAAAGATGGACAAGTTGTTGTTGGTGACATTTCCACGTTTACCGCAACCATTAACTCACCAGGTAGAGCTTCAATGAAGTAAAAGAATCAAACAAAAAAAAAAAAACGTGCAGTTTGTACTCACCAACGCGACCATGTCCGTGGCTGACGTGTCCTCGGAGTTTCCTGGTCTTAGACTTCTTGGTCGGCTGTCGAACACAAGTTTGGTCACGATGACATCATTATTATTTAATCTCAATTTAGAACCGAAGCTCTGCTAATGAAGCTAACTAGCTGTTAGCCAATTAGCATGCGGAGCAGTTTCTGCTGAAGTACACAATGCACTTGTGTGTGCATATATATATATATATATATATATATATATATATATATAACAAATGTGTTCGTTCTTCAAAGCTTTTACTCCACTTTATATCCATCATATATTGACTAAAATCTTAGCAGCTAAAGGTAGCTCACTCGATAACACAATTTAAACACCAAATAACCGACTCCTCCAAGGTCGAAAAATATGCTAATAAAAACTAAATCTGGTCTGTCAATGCAATTGGAGCTAAAGTAATTTCAGGAAAATCCTGTGAGCTTGACGGCTAAATGGAAGGCCTGGGTGATCCCGGCTAGCACTGTAAACCGACCTCAAACATCCATGTTATAAATAATTTTCTCTGTAATAACACTTCACAACTGTACAAGAGAAATGAGTGTACTGTAAAATAATGCGACAAAAATAAAAAAAATGATAATCAAACAAGGATGGGAGCAGATTTCTTTCCATTTTTGTACACGGGGATAAATGACGGCACCTACCATCTTGGAGGCTAGATGAAAGAGGAACGGGATTTGGAAACAACGCGGTTTTCTGCGAGACTTGGCCTCCGACAACAGCGTTCGCACAAAACAGCGACACCTGGTGGTGGGAGGTGGAAACCACACAGATTTGACAAAGAACACCAAACGAGGTTGTCAAAACTATCTAAGGATTGTGTTAAGACCATCGATAATGGAGAAAATTGAATAAATTAATTAAAGTTACAAATGGAACCCGGAAACTGAACCCAGAACAGGACAAGTGTTCCAGTACCACAACCTTTGAGTTCAAGTTTTCCAGACCCACTTGACAGATTGAAGGGTGAGGCTGATGTCACTAAAAATAATGCTCCAATAAATCAATCCATCCATCCATCCATCATCATCCTTACCCACTTCTTCCTTTTTTGGGTAATGGTGCCCATATACAGCCATCACTGTTGTGTGAAAGGCAGGGGACACCCTAGACAGGTCTTAAGTCCATCACAGGGACACATCCATCCATCATCATCTTTACCCGCTTATTCCATTTTGGGTCATGGGGGTCACCGGTGCCCATGTCCAGCAATCACTGTGCGAGGGGCGGGGTACACCCTGGACGGGTCGCAAGTCCATCACAGGGCCACATAGAGACAAATGAGACAAACAACCATTCACTCTCTCCCTCACACCTAGGGACAATTTAGAGTTAACAATTAGCCTAACATGCATGTTTTTGGTCTTTGGGAGGAAACTGGAGTATCAGGATAAACCCACACATGCACGGAGAGAACATGCAAGAAAGGTCCCATGGCTGGGATTTGACCCAGCAACCTTTTCACTGAGAGGCAGCAGCTCTACCAACTGCGCCACCGTGCTGCTCTCCAAAAATTAAATTTATTGAAGGTAATTTTGCCCTTTGGAGGAACCTGTTTTTCTTAATTTGATAAAACAATTGGAACATTGGCTACTCAAAGGGGAACGTTCAGTTTGGGGGACGAAGTTAAAGAAGTTTGTTTCAAGTGTTTAATTCAAAAATCCCTCCAAAAACTGATACCCAGTTTGACATAAACGGTGTTCTTTGTGTGAGCTTAGCTACATGTATATATCTTAACAATTTATTCATTGGCAGCACGACAGCTCAGTGATTAGCACTGTTGCCTCACAGCAAGAAGGTACTGGGTTCAATCCCTGGTTGGACCTGGGGTCTTTCTGTGTTGAGTTTTGCATGTTCTTCTCGTGCTTGCGTGGGTTTTCTCCGGGTACTCCGGTTTCCTCCCACAGACCAAAACCTGCCTGCAGGCTCAGGCCTCCCTTGTAAAAGAGATCTGTGATCTCAATGGGATTTGCGTCGTTAAATAAAGGTTAATAAAATAATATCTGGTGTTTTGGACTGATTTTAGGCCCAAGCACAAACAGCCAATGACTCAGCTAAATTATGTGTCTTTTGTAAGGAATTCTTCTTCTCTTCTTTAAAAAAAACAATATTAAAAGCAGCATATTTTGATATTTGCAGGTTAAAACAATGAAATATTACGGGGTGCATTTAAACTATAATTCTTGGATATTCTCTTGCAGTTTTAGTTTTTTAAGGGGCTGTGAGCGATAATGGTTTTGCTCATTGCTGTTTGTTTGTTTGTTTCTGTAGTGTTAGCAAAATATCTTTTGAACCACTGGAAGAACTTTCATGAAAACTTTCAGTAATCTGGAATACCTTTTGGTGCTCACTCATTTCAAGATGGCGGCTACAACTCCATTGCCACTGCCTTCAGGTGCTTCAATTCTCTGTTGTCCAATAAGGACAATGCAAGCCTTTTTTATGAAAGTAAATTGACTGTCTTTTCAACATTTTGATCGCTGTTGTTTTGACATTGTCAAAATATTGTGTTGCGCTTTACGTAGACCTGTCTAAAGCCTTTGACACTGTGGACCATGACATTTTATGTCATAAGCTCTCAGAAATTGGTTTTTCAGATCACACCATTGACTAGTTCTCTAATCATCTTTCAGATCGGAGGCAATGTGTTCGGCATAATAATACTTACTCCAGTTATTTAACAGTTAACAATGGTGTACCACAAGGCTCAGTCTTAGGACCCACCCTCTTTACAATCTACATAGGGAATGTAGGTCAGAGCATCCTTGATGCATCCTTACATTTCTATGCTGATGATACTGTTGAGCTAAAACGGTTACTAAGGTTTTCCAGCTTTTATAGTCTACTTTTGACATCATCCAGTCAGATTTGTTCTGTCAATGCTGACAAAACCAAAGGGATGTTGTTTTCAAACAAGAAGTTGGTTCCAGCAGTCATTCCTCCTGTTTTACCTTCTAATGGTGTTCCTATTGAGTTTGTCAATTCTTACAAATTGTTTGGTATCTTGGTCGACTCGCGTCTCTCTTTTACGCTTCACGTGGAAAACCTAGTAAGAAAACTAAAAGTTAAACCGGGTTTCTTTTTCAGAAATAGATCTTGTTTAACTCTGAATGCTAGGAAACACCTTGAGACTGTGACTTTCCTTCTTTCCACTGACTACGAAGACATTATTTACATGAACGCCCCTACAAGCACCCTGCAGATGTTGGACGCTGTCTATCATGGTGCACTAAGATTCATAGCATACCCATCACTGCACCCTGTATTCACTGGTTAATGGTCATCATTAACTTCACACAGACTCTCTCACTGGTAAATTTTCATCTTTAAATCACTTCTTGGTCTGTTGCCTTCATACATCTCCTCCTACATGTCACTGCATGAGTGCAGCTACAGCGTGCGCTCTCAGGACATTATTACCTGCAGTGTTCCCTCAGTGAGGACTGAACTAGGCAAAAGGGCCTTCTCCTACTCTGCTCCTGTTTCCTGGAATATCTTGCAAAAAGACCTGAAGCTCTCGACCTTGACCTCTCTAAGTGGCTTTAAACATCTGCTAAGTTCATGGGAAAAACCAACGCAGACATGTTCCTGTTTTTAGTATTTTATATCACTTTACAATGTAGCTGTTTTTGTTTAGTTTTTTCTTTATATAATTTCTTCCATTTACTTTTCATTGTATATGTTTTTATATACTTGTCTACTGTTGTCTGTACCTCATCTGTGTTCTTTGTTAAAAACAGATCCCTCTTAAAATGAGACTCAATGATAGTAACTTGTATAAATAAAGATCAATTGAAAAAGAATGACGATTTTGACAAATTACCACCATTGTCTTGATACGTGGTGTGAATAATACACATCAAACATTTCTCTTTTTGTATTTTTACTAAATAATTAAAATTAATAACCCACTTAAACTGTCAAAACTGATTTGCAATTTAGTTGTGCTGTTTAATTATGTTTTTGAGTTTTTTAATAAAATTTTGCAATTACTTTGAACTTTTAGGGGTGGAGATTTTTTTCAGGGTAGACGCAGAAATGCTTACTTGAAGGAGCAGCTTGTAAGTGGCTGTTGTGTTTAAAATGAATGTTTACGTAATTATTTTCAGTTTACATATCCAATATAAGTTTTATTCATTCAAGGCAGTAAAAATTTGTTCATAACTTTATTATTAGTCAGCCTGAGAGTTACTGGATTCAAACAAACAGTTACTGGAATGCACCCAATCCAGCTCAAATTGAGCCCTGAGCTTGTGGAGAGAAGTCACAAACTAATGAGGAAAAATGGTGCCTGACCTCAGGGATTGTGAATAAATGCTCAAATGGCTTGCCTTACAAGCCCCACACTGAAACACCAAGCTCTTTAGCTGTCAAAACTCTATTAAAGATACAAATTTGTGTGATAAATCTCTTTGGCTTCACCGCTCATCCTTTGTTTAGATGCTCATTTGCTGCAAAGCATTTATAAACTTCAGTTGTTGCCTCCTCAAAGAGTGACGTTGCAACTTTATACAAGTAATGAAATCTTTTCCCTCCTGTGCAACTGCAGCATCTGAAATCAGGTCTCTCTTGTAAATGAGTCCTCGAGGCTCAATGGGATTTACCTGTCTAAATAAAGGTTGAATGAATGAAACGTACCTGATGGAAACCTTTGCTTGTTGTGACTCTTGGTGAACAGCGCTGTAATGTCAGGGGGCTGAGGCTGAACGAGCTCTCCTCCAATCACATCTGTTCTGTCCCCCTTGACGCTGGACACATGGAACAGAGCCGTCCCTCTGCTCTTCACTTCACACTCACTCGAAGACACAGTCACCTGGATTTCTGCAGCTGACGTCTGGGTTTTAGATAGTTTTGGTTCACACTCAGGTGATGTACTGCCACAATTTGGATTCATTCTTACTAGATGATAATAGCTTGTAAATATACAGGATATTTGTGACGTTATCTTTAATTTGAACCTTTGTAGAGCAGATATTCATAAATGTTCACTGTGATGCAGCTGATGTGTCTTTGGTGGTTTTTGTTTGTCTTGATTGAGCAGATTTGCTGTCAAATGAGCACAGAGGATTTCAAAACAAGAGCTTCTTCTGTTCTTTTTTTTTTTGTTTTCGACCCCAGGAGGTCAGGTCCTCTGGTGATGGCAGGCTTGGCTCACAGATGTCATGGCAACTTTCCACAAAGACGAGCTGCCCTGTTTCCACAGGGAGTCAGGCGCAGAGTGCAGCCGGCACCGGAGGCCGTGCCACCGGAGACGGCCTTCCCTGCAGAACACGTAACGCACATTTTTAGACACAGTTGTGGTGTTTTGCAAAGAAGGTTACTGCAACAGGTCATCACAAAGAAAAATATGCGTGTAAACTTAGTAGAAGACTGTATTAATGATATTAATGCTGAGGTTTTATTCTTAAAAAAAAATAATAATAATAGATCACCGATTCTGGATTCTGTGAACTCGGAGAAGAGTCAAACCGATGTTGCAACGGGAGAACCAGAGCAGGCTGCCCATCATCTGGGAAAGTGGAAAAAGTCCCTGATGAAAGCATAAAAGCTTTCTTGAGCAGAATAAGGTAAACACAAAATAATTTTATATATATGTATAAAGGAAAAGGTTAACCTTTAGAAAATGACTTCACAGACATGAAACCTTTATGTACGGCAGTGTGGGGCAGGATGAGGACAGGTTAGAAGCTGCAGGACAGTTTGGCTCTTGCAAAATAATAAAAGTTACAAAATTATTGCACAACATCACACCAGACACTAAAATGTAGCAGAACACATTTTGTAACACAAACATTTCTGAAGACTGCACAATCTCACAAAAAGAGTTAAATGTTTTTCATCCTATTTAAGTGTTTTTTTATATAAGTTATGGACAAATGAAATAGTGAAATTACATTTTCTTCAGTGTGAATGCTTATTGCTGAAGAACATGCTAAAAAGAAGCTGAAAATAGCTAAAAAACATGCTGAAATGTAGCTGAATTGAAAGAACAAGCCTAAGGTAGTGAAAAAAAAAGCAGAAAGAACGCATAGCATTTGCTGAATTAGGTTTAAATAAGCAGAAATTATCACAAAAAATAGAAAATTGACTAAAAAAGCTGAAATGAGCAACAAAAAAATAGCTGAAAAGTAGCTGAAAAGGCAGAAAGAACCACAATCTACCAGAAGGAAGTGGAAGGAGCCAAAATGAGCTAAACATATAGAAGTAGCTGTAAAAGCTAAATTTAGCAACAAACAAACAACAGCCAAATAGTAGCTGAAATAGCACAACAAGCTGAAATTAGCAGAAAGAAGATAATTAGGCTGAAAGTAGCTGAAATGACCACAAAAACTTGAATTTATCTGAAAACAGCTGAAGCTAAAATGCTAAAAAGTTATATGAAAAGGTATAACAAGCTTAAATTAGCAGAAGGAAGTAGAGAGAGCATTTTGCCCAGTTAGGCTGAAAAAAGCAGAAATGAGCACAAAAAGTGTAAATTATCTGAAAAAAGATTAAATTAGCAACAATAAAAAAACAGCTGAAAAGTAGCTAAAAACAAAAGCTTGAATTACAAGAAGAGGAGAGAGCACATTTTTGCTGAATTAGACTGAAAAATGTTGAAATAAGTGCAAAAATTGTGTAATTAGCTGAAAAAGCTCAAATTAGCAAAAAAAAAAAAAAAAACCCAGCTAAATAGTGGCTGAAATACCAGTAAAAGCTGAAACTTGCAGAAATAATCTGAAAAGAGCATAACAAGCTGAAATTAGCAGAAAGAAGTTAGAAGAAGCACAACAATATTGTAGTTAAGAGAATGAATCTAAAAGGAGCACAAAACAGCTGAAATTAGCTGAAAAATGTTTAAATTTGCACAAAGAAGCAGAAAGAAGCTGAACCAGAACAAAATGTGAACGGAGCAGAAAAGGCTAAATATTTCAAAAAGCTAAAGTTGCACCAATACCAAAAGTCATAGATGGTCCTGAAAGAGCTGAACGTTTTGATTTTATGACAACAAAATCCATGCTCAATAATCCAGGTATACAATCCAACATTTTTCAGTCAGGCCATCTGGTTTTGATTTATGATTTGTTGAAATAGCTTAAAAACTGCAGGATGAGAAATGCTCCAAAAATGTATGGAAGTAAGATGGAACAAAACTGTGTGAAAACTTCAAGAGCGTTCACGCAATAAAAACAATCTCACTTTGGAGAAATAGTCGACAGAAGAGGTGGATTGCTGCCATCTTAAAACTTCTTCTTTCGGCGGCTCCCTTCTTCAGGGGTCGCCACAGTAACTCACATGAAGACTTGGCAGTTTATTTATTTTGGATGTTGGATGTCCTTCATGATGCAACCACAGTCCATGGTGGGGGTTAAGGGCCTTGCTCAAGGGCCCAGAGTGGGGCAATGAGAGTGGAGGCAGGCGTTCACCTTTCCCACCCCCCTTTTGATGTCAGTGCGGGGGATCGAACTGAGACCATCCGATCACTGGCTCGCCTTCTCTAACCTCTGCGCCACCACTCCCTCGTCTTGAAACGACTTCAATCTCTAAAATTCGTAACGGTTCGTGCAGCAACTTTGTACTTTTCATCCAAACTACGGTCGTTTATCAAAAACGTTAAATGTTTTAGGACAAGAACATCTTTAGAAGAGGTGTGCTCGGACAGTTTGCTTGTCTGATAGCAGCTGAAGCAGTTTTCATCATCCTGAAAAACTCCAGTCTTTAAAACTGAACGGCAAATCACGCTGTTATTAATTAAAGGCCTAGCATGCCTTAATGAATGCATGTCGCCTGCCTCCTTTCATGTCAGAGATTTAAAGTAAGATTATTTTATTAGGCATTGACGGAGTTGCCTTTTTGACCAATCCTTGTCAGTTATGTTTGTTTCATGCGATGTTATGACCTAATGAGATCTGTTAGTTTTCTAAATATGTTCGAGGATGAACGTCAGCCGCTTTACAAAATCTAACCTCAATATCTGCTAAGCTAATGGCAGTTTTTGCATTTGCTGAGTTGCTTTGCGGTGCTGGCCATCTTGAACGAGAGGAGGTTGAAGATGAATTATAGATTCAATTATTATTTTCTGAGCGTTACGTTACACTTTTCCCAGTAGTTCATGAGATATTTTGCTAACAGACAGGGTCGACTGTAAAACTTAATGGCAAAGTTTAAAGCAACACCACGATGCACGTGATGAGGATTATGCTCAGCTACTGCCACAAAAGCCTTCAGCTCAAAACGTGTAAAATCAACTTCACTGTGGCAATTTTTTGTTTTTACTATGGCTTTGCTGTGGCGGCCATCTTGAATAGACTCCAAAAAGTTGATCAGTTATAGATGCAGTGATTGTTTTCTTCAAGTTTCACTAAAACCCATCCACTGGTTAATGATGTGTTTTGCTAACACAACAGATAAACAAGCACACACGTACAGACAAAAACATCATTCATCCAACCTTTATTTATACAGGTTAGCCACGAGGATTTATTTTCAAGAGAGCCCTGATTTAGACAAACCACAGAATAAACGACCATAAAATGCATATAGAATAAAAAGCAAATTAAAGTAGTGGTATAAAACAAAATAAAAAGTTAATAAAAATAGTGATATTAAACAAAATAAAATCAATCTACATTATGAAATGAGGTAAAATACTAAATATTATTACCCTTTTGCCATTTTCAGAGGGTAATTTTTTTTACATCATCATTATTTGTGCATCACACCAATATTTTGACAGAAATATTATGCCATTCCTCTTGTAGTTTACCCCAGACTGCACAGGAAGTGCTACAGATAGCTGCTGCTGTTTGTCTATGTAATCATTTAACTGGGTTTGATTTATAGCAGTCGACAGTAGGGGGCAGCAGAGAGCCTGTATGGTTATTACTCTGGTTGCCATGGTAAGTACATGTGATGGAAAATAAAACGTTTGCCCGGAGAAACATCCACTGTAACATAAACAAAGTTAATCCAAACCACATCCGTGACTTTATCGGTTTAATGTTTGACCTGCACTTTAAGTGTTCAAAGTAAATCATGGCAATATGAACTGTGGATGTTTGTAGTGGTTGGCTTTGCTTCTCGCCTCCGAAGATTAAATCCATCATCAGAGCAGAGCTCAGTAAAAACGTCAGTGTTTCTGTTTTCATGCATGCATCAGGTAACTTAAACCGTTTCCCATCGATCAGGAATGATCTCACTGATGTGATGACTATCGATCTGCTGTGGTGACTGGAAGACCCACGTGGCTTTTGACTTATTTCCACAGCATTCATCCAGAAGCCCAGAGGATTCTGGGTAATTCTTCAATAGCTGTGGTGAATCTGGAGCGTCTGAACTTCCAGGCTGTATCGTGTCTACAACCTGTTGTGTCTTTGGTGAGATTGCCCTGCCATACCCGAGCTGAGCTCCAGCAAGATGCGTCTTCAAGGTGTCCTCAACAGGTAGAGAAACAAAAAGACCTTTTAGGAGACGAAGAGAAACATGAGGTCAGTTTTATTGTCTTTTTTTATCTGTGGCTTGATCTTTGTTGGCAGACTGGACTCAGTCTGACTGAGGAAGTTCATTTGGAGGAAAAAGAAGATTTGGTCAAGGCTGAGGAAGCAGAGGGGACACCCACATCCTGGACCGAACCCTACTGTCCCGAAGGCTCTTCGTTGGACGAACCAGAGCAAGACTCGGGCTTCGACTGTGAATCCAATCCAGATCTGCCGTACATCCTGTTTGATTCTGGATCAGACGATGAGAAAAGTGACCCTGAAACGTTTTATCTGGATCCCGATCCAGAGCAGGCCGTGGTGATCGAACTGGAGCCGGAGACAGAAACCGACCAGGACTGTTATCTGGAGCTGGAGGACGAGTCGGACACTAAATGTGAAGCGGGTGCGGTTCAAGTGGAGCTCAGCGAAGATCCAG